GTTCTCTCCTCATGTTCCCAGTAGGTTTGGGGGTGACAGGGCATCTAGCCTAGCTAGATGGAGAAGATGATCCCTGAGGATGGAGTGAGGAAATGAAGTCATCGAATGGAGCACAGAGATGACCCCAGAGGGTGGACCCTAGAGGATGAAGGGACATGATTTCGGAAGGTAAGTCTCAGAGGATGGAAGAAAATAACTCCCTCTCTCCCTCCTTGCACTCCCTTTCAGCCCATGCTTTCAGAATTGTAACCAAATCAACATTACCTGGTGTGTCTATAGACTGCCCTATTGTTCCACTAATCACCCCAACCAAAATACCCTTCCCTGGCCACCATTTCTCTATATGTGTTGTCTCCCCCTATTAGAATGTAAGTTCCTTTAGGTCAGGGACTATCTTGCTTTTATATTTATATCCTGAACACCTAGTACAGTGATTGGCAATAGTAATCATTTAATGAATGCTTTTCCATCCATCCATCCATCCATCCATCCATCCATTCCCTCAGAAGATAAAGCTGACCTCTGAGGGTACACCTCAGAGGATGGATTTTAGAGGCTAGAAATGAGATGAACTCAGAGGATGGGATATGGAGGTGATTGCAGAGAATAGACTCCAGGGAATAGAGGGAGATGATTCCTAGAGTAGACCTCAGATCCTAGAAGGTAGAGAGAGGAGTTGCTCCAGAGCCTGGACTTTAGAGGATGGAGGGAAAGGACCTTCTAGGGTAGACCTCAGAGGACAGATTGTAGAAACTAAAGAAATGAGCCCATAGGTTGGCCCCCATGTGGTAAAGCTCTATAATATTCCTGAAAAGTGCACGGAGGAGGACTCTGGTTTACTAAGGAAATAGCCCTGAGTGAGGAAAATCGAGCCAGAGAAACTATGAGAGGAAGAAAGAGTCTGGAACAAGGGAGTAGACCCCACTGTGGGATGCAACATGCTGATCAGGGATATTCTGCAGGCTACATTAAGAGGAATGTAAAGCTGGCATCTAGAGAGTCTCCTGATTAAAGCAAGATATCTGTCCACAAGATTCCCATTTCCATATCAATCCACCTAGATGTAGTTGGTCAGAAGTCCAGAGGAAACGGTCCAGGTATGAGTCACCATTGACAGTGCTGTGTAACTTCTGAGCTAGCACTAACTGCTCTCACTTATCACTGGGGAGGCTGTGAAAAATCAATGAAATAATATACAGCCAATTCACAGACCAATTAGTCAGTTGTGTCAGTGGTGTGTTTGAATTCTGGGATCCCAAGGGAAATTTTCAGAAAGGGTCCCTTTACCCCTGGTTAATTGCAAAATAACTAGCTCTCCTGCAGAAAAGGGCTGTTTGGGCAGTATTTATACCGATGATTTATGGCTCAACCCAATCTCTGAAAGAGCCTACGTGGATTAGCGAAAGGAGCACTAGATTGGGAGGCAAGAGACCAGGCTTCCAGTCCAAACCCGGACACCGACTCTGTGTGACCTCGGACATGTCCATTCTCTTCCCCAGGCTTCAGTTTCATCTTTTACAAAATGAGCTGATAGCTTCCAAGCTCCCTTTCAGCTTTAATATTCTAGGTTTTACTTGTTAGTATCTCTGATAAAAGGTTCCCGAGGGGAAAATGCTGAAAGTAATATCTAACACAGAAGTTTGGGGTGTACTGTGGGTGTGTGGGTGGGCAGGTGATCTTGAGGCAGCAGGGGTGCGTTGCAAAAGGCAGGTTTGCCATCAGAAGACCCGGGATGTGAGCTCTGGCTCAGCCATTTATTCCAGTGTGATTATTAGCAAATTGCTTAATCTCTTTGAATTTCAGCAAAGTGGGGCTAGTAATAGGACAATCACAGAATGTTCGAGCTGGAAGGACCCTGGGAGACCAAGCTGTTCAACCCCCTCATTTCGGAGAGGAAGAAATTGAGGTCCAGGGGAGGGGGGGGAGGGGGGGGGAAGGGACTTGCCTGAGGCAATACTTATCCCCCAGGCTTGTAGGAGATAATGGACTGAAAGGGCTTTGTAAATTGTTTATAGAAACGTGAGAGGTTATTAGTCGCTAAATTCTAACCGTTCTCTAGTATTCTAGGGAATCCAAAGTGGTCTGCAAATGAAGTGGTTTGAGCAATAGTAGATACATTTCAGGTATTCTCATCACCCAGATCACCCAGAGGTAGCTGAAGGGGGTGGGGGAAAAGAACAATGACTGCGTAAGCAATACTGACGCTTTCTTCAGGCATCCTTTCCCTCCCCCCCCCTCCACCCACTCCCCTTTCCAAGAGTAAACTCTGAATCGGTGCTGAATTGGGGGGAGGGATTGGTCCTTTCGTATGGGGGGGCAGCTGAGAACCACAGTCCCCATTTATCTGCTTTAAAAAATCATAGCTTTAGAGCTGCAAGGGACTTAGTAGGCCAAATAGTCCAATCCTTTCATTATACAGAGAAAGAAACTGTGAGACTCAGGGAGGTTATGATAAACAAAGTGCATTTCTCAGAACAACCCTATACGTAAGTGAGGCAGGTATTATGGCCGCCCAATTTACAGAAGGGAAAACGGACTCAGAAGGGAAGGTCAAGGTCATACAGCTCACTAGCAACGGTGTCAGGACTGGAATCCAGGTATCTTGAGTGCATGGCACCACACATCACCCTTGTCTCTGTTTTCTCTAGCTCTAGCCTCTAGGTACACTTTAAGCACGTCTCCTGGAATCCTTTTCTTCTAGGATGGCTAGGGTGATATCAGCATTATCGCCTTCAATCTCCCACCCCCACCTACACACACATAAGTAGCTGAACTGGGAGGGGGACTGGGATTTTCTGATTACAGTTCTTTCCAGCATACTGAAAAGCAGTTTGTATCCTAATTAGGGTTGTGTCTAACCTAATAGATCACCCACGTAGCAGCCATTTCTACCCCCATAATATCTCTTGCATTTGTCCTCTCCCTGTCTCCCCATTGCCACTACTGGTTTCCTGAAGGCTCTCATCCCTAATTCTCTGCTATTTTAACAGCCGGCTTAACTGGCCTCCTGTCCTCCGGCCTTTCCCATCTGCAGGTCAGTCTCCACGCTGCCTGGGTGATCTTCCTAGGGCGTCCCTATGATCCTGCACTCAGAATCTCTCAGCAACTCCCTAACCCAGGTATTCTCTCCCATTCCACCTTCCCAGCCTTATTGAATTCTTTTCTTCCTCACACTACGTGCAAGCTAAATTGGAATCCTCACCATCCCCTGGTTGTTCACGACTTGCTTACTCCCACCGTCCTCCATTTCTTGGCTAGACTCCTCCCCCATCTCCATCAGTTGAAGCCACCTCCCCTAAGGAGCCTGCCCTGAGGCACCCCCCCCCATCCCCCGTCACTTTCCCGGTGCAAGTGAGCAGCTTTCTCATCCTTTCCATTGCACTCGGCTTACCCCTCAATTCACAGTTATTTGTGGTATCATTCCATCCCTTCGGCTAGACTTCAAGCACCCTGAGGGTAAGCGGAACTGTGTCTTGGGCGGTCCACTACTTAGTATAAGGAGCCACCATATACTGATAATGCTCGGTGTCCCGGTTGCTCTATCTCTCGCTGCTCAGTTGAGGAAGAGATGCTGCCTAAGTCAGGCACGCTATTATTAGCTCCCTCCCTGTCATTTTTGTCCCACCTCCAACCTTACTACCTGTGTGACTCTGGGCACGTCATCTAACGATGTTCCTGGGCCTCAGTTTCCTCCTCTGTAAAGAGAAGGTTTTCGACTAGATGGCCTATGATCCTGTGTCACCCCCCCCCCCCCCCAAGGTTTTTGACATCTTAGGTAAGTCCTGAGAGCCCTGGCTCACAATACACAGATGGGGAAGGGGAAGAAGGTAAGATCTCTTCTCCTCTCCTCCCCCCACCCCGGCCCCTTCTCAGAATGGCAAGCGCTGGCAGGGCCCGCGGAGCTCAGCTATGGCACCTTCTTTATTGGACGGAGGGGGTAATGGAGACCCCCAAGCTGGGTAAGGGACTTGCCCAAGGTCACTGAGAGTGGGAAGGTATCCCCCTCTAGGCCATCCCCCCCAGGTCCTGGAGCCAACCTGGTTCCAGCATCTTCCTCTTCAATTTGCCGAACCACTGAACCATCCCTAATACACCCCCTACTAAGAAAGGCGGGTTCCTGAGCGAGTCCTTCTGTCCCAACTTGAAGGGGGTGGGCTAAAGTAGGGAGCCAAGCATTCTTCTCAGGCAGAGGAGTACCAAAGCCACAAGACTTGGCTCGGACCCTGGGCAAGGAGCGGAGCACGGTTTTGTTTTTTTGTTTTTTCTTGGGGGGGGGCAGTTCTTCGGCCCATCCCATAGGCTGCCTCCTCCCTCCACGCCCAAGGTGGGGCCGGCACCGCCCCGGGAGCTAGGTGTGCGTGGGGGGCGGGTCCGGAGGCTGGGCAGATAGCCCTGCGGAGGCAGCCGGAGGAGGGGGAGGAGCTCGGCCGCCCGCGAAGTGGCGCCCAGGGATGCAGGGGGCGGAGACTGGGAGGAGGCCGGGAGGCGAAGTGCAGGCAAGAGCTAAGTGAGCAGGGGAGGAGCTCGGGCAGACGTGAAGGAGGCGGGCCGGTCGACGAGAAAAGTGGGGCGGTCTCCGGCTCTCTCCTAGTGGTTCTCAGTGTTGTGGCGGAGTGAGGGAGAGGAGAGAAGGAGAGGAGAGCAGAGCAGAGCAGAGCAGAGGAGAGGAGAGGAGAGGGAGGGCGAGGAGCAGGACAAGCAGGAGAGCGCGCTGCAGCGCTGAGCCTGCCGGGAAGGAAGGAAGCGGGCTCGGCCGCGGCAGCGGCATCGGCAGGGGCGAAGGCTGCACCGCGCGCAGCCCGGCGCCTGCCCCGGCTCCGGTTCCCACTCCCGCGCGCCAGCCCGCACGCTCATACGTTTCATGGACGCGGCGGCCGGTCCCTGCCAAGTGTTCCGCGCGCCCCTCCACTAAGAGCGCCCCGCAGCCCCCGCACCCCCTCGCACCCTCTTCCCAGCCCGGGCGCCAGCCCTCCCGTCCCGCGCCGCCCTCCGGGCGGACCATGGATGACAAATCCAACAAGCTGCTCCTGGCCCTGGTGATGCTGTTCCTGTTCGCTGTGATCGTTCTGCAGTACGTCTGCCCCGGCACCGAATGCCAGCTCCTCCGCCTGCAGGCGTTCGCCTCGTCCCATGCCGACCCGTACCGCACCGAGGACGAGAGTCCGCCCCGCTTCGTGGCCCGCCTCAATTTCACCGACGCCGAACTCCTGCGGAAGGTCGACTTCAACATCAAGGGGGACGACCTCATCGTCTTCCTGCACATCCAGAAGACCGGGGGCACCACTTTCGGCCGCCATCTGGTGCGCAACATTCAACTGGAGCAGCCGTGCGAGTGCAAAGCTGGCCAGAAGAAATGCACTTGTCACCGTCCCGGCAAACGCGAGACCTGGCTCTTCTCCCGCTTCTCCACCGGCTGGAGCTGCGGCTTGCACGCTGACTGGACTGAGCTCACCAACTGCGTGCCCTCCATCGTGGACAGCAAGAAAGAAGCCAAGCTGCGACCGACCAGGTGAGCCAGGCAGGTCCGCACGCGCGGCCCGCCGCCGCGACTGCCGGGGCCCCGAGCTTTCAACTTTTGTCTCAGGGTGGGTGGGTGTGGGGGGGGGCAGGGGGTGTGAAGGTGGCTAGCGCGACTCCCAGTGCCTTTCCCGGGGCTACAATGAATGCATTGTCTCTCCTCGCCTTCCTCCCTAGTCCTAGCTGTGTCGGGGTTAGGAGGACCCTTTGCTTTTCTGGGGGGCAGGTGGCATCCCCTTTGATCACGGGAAGCATGCAAAAACAATTCCCACCGAGAGTGACTGCAAACCGCCACCGCGGGCTCAGAAATTGCCTTCATACAGCTGCAGTAATTGTCCGTCGTCTGCGCGCTTCTCCCTCCCTCCGTACCCCCCTTTTCCCTCTGCAGAAACTTAATGGGAAGGGGGTACCCAGTCCACAGCCAGAAAAGACCATCCAGGGCCCTTTGGAACGGGAATAGTGGCAGGGACTGGTCATGGGGGTGGGGGTGTAACTGGACAGTTGTTTAGGCTGGAGAGGGAGGGGGACGGGAATCGGACTGATTGCTATCTAAATACAGTTATTGAAGCCGCCCCCCCCCCGACCCCCTGCAAGCTCAGAAGAGCATCGAAAAGACGAGCTCTCCAGCTCTCCAGACACAATTTGATTTTTCTCTGCAGGTGTTTCTGGACAGCCCTACAAATAGCTCTCACTTCCCAGCTTGCTTCGTTGCAAACTCTAGTTATTTGTAGCAAAGCACTTCTGCTGGTTGGGGGTGAAGGGGGGTGCTTCCAGCCTGTACACTGGAGAGCCTCGGCGGGGCTTCCTCCGCAAGCCTAGAATTACTTCACTGTATTAATGTGGTAAGATAGCCTGGTTGTCACCTGCGGGGATCAGCTGGCTGCGTGCCTCCCCTGATTTTCAGACTCGTTTCTGCCCAGTGGGATGGGGTGGAGGTGAGCCTCCGAGGCTCTGTGGAGTCTGGACAATATTGAAGGCACACAGCAAACCATCCTCCAGGAAGAAGTGAAATGGAGGGCTCGCCAGAGGGTTGTAGAGTAAAGTTGTATGGTATTGGAATAAAGGTTCTCCCTTTTCTTTACCATGCCCTTTTATTGCTTGGCAGTAAGTGGGGAAGGGGCCGGTTTCCTCCTCTCATCTTGGCAGGTCCAGGAGGCTGTGAATGAATTTCGTGGAGCCAGTGCTAAGGGCTTTTTTTTGGGGGGGGGGACCTACCTCCAGCCAGTAATGGCTCAGGTTGTGTAGCCCAGATGCCCTGGCTTTGAGGACCTGTGCCCTCACATCCTCCCGAACCTAAGCCATGAGAGAACGGTCTAGGTCTTGGCTGTAGACTGTTCTGTCATTCTTTTTCTCTTCACCCTCCTCCCCACCCCAAGCATATTACTTCTCCATCTTCCAGGATGTTATAACATCTGGCAGATGGTTCTCTGAACTCCACAGTGAATGATGGACCTTCTGTCTGATCGGAGCCAAATTTTGCTGTCAGGACTGAGTGGCTGGACTGTTTCTGGAAAGCCAGTGGGAGGTCACCTAGATAGACTTCTTGGGGACAAGTTTCAACCTCCCTAGTCCCCAACCCTTTCCCCTACCCATAACACTTTTTTTTTTAGTGCTGGAGTCCCTGGGTGCCTTTAATTTTGTTACCTCTTCAGCCTAAAATGCCATGGAGAGGGGCAAGAGGCTTGGTCTTGAAGGGTCAGGGAACCGCCTGCACACACCTGGGGCCCTTATCCGGCTTTTCCCCAAATCTGTTGCGCTGTGGGCTCTCAAAGGATCTGGGAATGATAAAGATCACCACTTACACTGCTGCTTGGCTGAGAAGCTAGCCCTCCCCTTGCCTCTATGCTCAGTGCATGGCAATTTCAAAGGAGATCTTCAGGGCAGACATAGCATTCCCAGCCATTGCCCCCAGGATGGCAGGGGGCCTAGGTCCTTATTATAGCCCAGCTCCTGAGAAGATCTACAATGTATTCCTATTTAAAAAGCCTTCTGAATGGGTGGGCCAGGGGTCTATGCGGTTGGTCCTTGGACACACCATTATTAATGCCCTACGGATTATTTACTTAATTGACCTCTGAAGAAATCAGACTATAGGAGCCTTTGTTACCATTAGTTTTAACAGTCAGGACCTTTCAAGGAAGGGTTTTCGTCTATGGGGAGAACAGCTTTTCTCACTCAAATAGA